GAGAAATCAGAGGGAAGCAATAGTCGATTATCTATATTGGATAATCGATTATCAAGACTTTAACAGAAGAAAAATAGCAAGCTAAGGTTTTGTTTTGTCTTTTGGTGTTCACCTTCGGCCTAGGCTTAGTAATGAATAACAAAGACTTTATTTTGGACAGAGGAAATGAGTTTGGATGTTGTGGGAGAGGGTTTGTGGGTTATGATTTGGTTTAGCGGGGATTTTGGGCAACAAGGGCTAAGGGTTGGGCCTTTTGATGGGAAAAAGGAATGAATTCAACCCAATAAGGATTATAACACTCAAGCATTAACCCCTGATTTTTCTTACCCTTTTGTGATGCATGGTAGGATACAACAGGAATCAATTAGAGCAGGTGGGCATTTAACCTTCAATTCCTTGAATCTTTCCCATGCTTCGCACATCGATTCCATAGGTGCTTGGCGGAAGTTTTGGATGGAGTTTTTTATTTTCACCATAGCAGATGGTGGAAAATATTCGTGCATGAATGCCTGGTGCAACGCCTCCCAGGTCTTGAAGTGGCCATTAGGGAATGTATTTAACCATCTAGCTGCCCGATCCCGAAGGGAAAAGGGAAAGAGCGACAGTTTAACACGATCCATGGATAAGCCGTTGGACTGGAACGTTTGGCAAGTCCTAGAAAACCATAGCATGTGCGCCCTTGGATCTTCAGCTTTTGAGCCTCCAAATTGGTTATTCGAGACCATTTGGATCATTGCTGGTTTGATTTCAAACGAATGGGCTTGACTAGCGGGGAGACCTATGGGATCTTCCTCTACGTACGCCGGGCTCATGGCTTGAAGGATCGTTCGCCTAGGATTACGCGCCATTTCTTGTTCCTCTTCCTCCTCTGAGTGTTGATTCTCTTCCTCGCGATTTGCCTCTTCTTCTTCCTCTTCTCTTCGCTCTTCGTCGTTGAACTCCAGTTGACGAGGGATTCTAACGGTGCGGCGTCGGAGCAAAAGTTCGGGATTCTTGGTTCCCGGAAGAATGTTCTCACCGCGAGAACGAGTGTTCATACAATTTTTAAGGCTAGAAGAAGAATCCTAACGACTATCTAGTAAAAAAAAAAATTTTTTTTTTGTATAGTTATTATTTAAAGAAAATAAAAGTTAAACTAAGAAAAATATTTTTTAAACAAATGGAAATAAAAATAAATTAAGCTTGAAAATATTTTAAACTAAATATAAATTTTTATTATTATTTTTTTATAAATAAATGTTTACTATTTTTTTTTTTTGAAAATCGTTTCTATCAACTTTCTTTCAGGCTAACTAAAAAGAAATCTTACTAATAACTTTCTGCGCCGATCCCCGGCAATGGCGCCATTTGGTGAAGAATTTTGGTTTAACGCAAAATTCCCGTAGTAGTAAAGGGAACAGACTAGATCTTCTAAAAGATCAGTTTATCCCGTGTCGTCTCAAGGATCGACCCAAGGGAAAGTTAAGCAAGACTAGTTAGACAAGATTTACTCAATGAATCAAAAAGTTTTCAAAAGGTCGAATAAGGAATGGAGATTGAATTCTTATCTTTCAGAAATAAAAGGTAGGGATGTAATTATTGGTTAGGTGATGGTTCTTTTTAGAGTAAAATCACCAGTTACTTTTATCTTAAATCTTTTTACTAGTAAGTAAACATCTTTTCAAATATTTACTTAACAATCAATCCAATGTCTACAGATCAATTATCAAACTACTGGACTTGACTTAATTAAATTCTAGATTTCTCAAGAAATATAATTTTCAAAAAATAGATTTGCTTTCTCTCGATTTACAATCTCAAGTATAAATTCTCAGTAATAAAAACTAGTAAATTTCCTTTAATAATTCAACTCAATGATTTTCTCAAAAAATTACCATCACCATTCCAATAATCACATCACCAATTAATTTAGCTACTCATAATAAAAACTTCCAACACACATGCATCATAAGAAGACAAAAAAGTTAACAAACTTACTTCAACAAATCTGAAGAACTGAGATCCGGGCTACAATTTGCTCCGTGAAAACTCCAAAGAATAATACTAATCTAAAATATGAAAGTAGGTTTGTAAATCTAGACTAAAAATGGAGAAATTCGGGTTTTTGGGAGAAGAGGGGCGCTGTGTAGTGTGTGAAATCGGAGAGGGGGAGTGCTGTATTTATAGGATTAGACGCGAAGCGTCCAACCCCCAGCCGTCCAGATCCAAAGCGTCCAAAGTTGGACGCCTTACGCGGCCCGTCCAGTCGCTGCTTGCCACGTGTCATTCTTGACGCCCAATCATCGCCAAGCGTCCAAGGGGAAGCGTCCAACCCGCAAAGCGTCCAAGGTTGGACGCTTCGGGCCTTCTCCTGTGGGCTTTTTCCGCAGCTTGATCCAATTCGGGCCCAATTTTCAATTTTCACTTTGCTTCGCAGTCTGTTTTAGCTTCCTCCGATATTCTCATGATAAAATTCTCAGTTAAAAACTTCTCTTTCTTTCAAATATAAGTAGAAAAATCAACAATCAAGACTGGACAAATTTTAAACCAATTATTATTCCTTAAAGAACAAATCAAAGATATTGTTCAGTTTAACATAAAATTATGCACTGCTTATCACTATTTTCGTGCAATAACGCTTAAAATATGTAGAATAAAATAAGAACAAAATGAACTTATCAGGTGCCTTTTTTCCAAACGATCAAGAAGAGCAAAGGGTTTATTTGGACAGAGGAGTGCTAGCGGTCGTTTGAAGAACTGAAGGTTCACCTCTTCTCCCCCCCGGTGCTTTCAAAGCCAGAGTTAGGGGAGACACTGTACCTATACCTAGGTATCTCTACTCGGGCCGTGAGCTCAGTGCTAGTAAAGGAAAATGGAGTTTCATAGCGATCGGTATACTGCGTGGCCAGGGTGTTGAGAGGAGCCGAATTGAGGTACTCCAACATTGAGAAGATAATCTTTGCTGTAGTATGCACGGTAAAGAAGCTCACACCATACTTCCAAGCACACCCTGTGCAAGTGTTGTCTCAAAGTCCAATTGGGGCTCTTATTCGAAGCCCGAATGCCCCGTCGCGAGTGAGTAAGTGGGGGGTATTTTTGGGGTTGTTCCAAATTGAGTTCAGGCCTCGACCGGAAATCAAGGGACAAGCTTTAGCAAATTTTATTGTGGAGTGTACCGCAAGATAAGAAGGGTGACAATTGTAGTTTTTCGGGTAGTAAACCTTCCCAATAAAGGGTTAGTTTTCTCTCCGAGTGTCGTGTCTCTCGAAGAGTGGATGAAGGGAATTAGTTAATTACTCTAATTAGGCGAAGATTAGGATTTGTTTATGAAAGTCTACTCGGAACGATTATAAAAGGAGCAGAGTAAAAATAATAAATTAATTTTACATAGTATAAGTATAGATCTGAACCTAAGGTCAGGACATCATTTGGATCTATTTTATCATATTAAATTAACAATTGGAATAATAATATTTCTATTACTACTCATCTGTTAGACAAGGCGTGCAACTCTAAAGGGGG